TTTTATATGTCTATATAACACTCGCGCACAGTCTCACACAGAGACACGTTTTAGAGCTATTTTAAAAGTCTATTTTTATTATATATATAATACTAGGTATATATATATATATTTTTTTTCATGTTTTATATATATATATATATATATATATATATATATATATATATATATATGTGTATATATGTATATATGTATATATATATATATATATATATATATATATATATATATATATATATATATATATATACACAAATATACAAATAAAAACATTTATAAATAAAAATATGCAAATAAATAAATAAATAAATACATAAAATACATGAACAAAAATATAAATAAATAAACCAATTATTAAATAAATAATAATAATAGACTTTTAAAATAGTTCTAAAACATGTCTCTTTGAGCAACTGTGCTCAAGTTGATTATGAACTTGATATGAACTTACGATCATAGCTTTATAGCTCTTAGCTCTCTTAGCTCTCTATTTCACTTAAACTGTTTAAAAAGGTCTAAAGACGCAAGCATTTCTCCAATATGAAACAATTGGAATTAATAACATTCATTTCAAACATCTCAATAATGTCTCAAACATTTCTCCATGTAAACAGTGAGACTAAATGGAGAGCAAATAGTAATCTGCCGTTTGGAACTCACAAGGAAACCTCAACAATGTCTTAAATTGTGTAGAAACACTGCAGCCACAACGCATATCCTCCAATATTTCTCATCAAGTTCTCTCAGCTGTTCTCAATTCCTGTCACTTTCAATGCTTAAAGAATGTTAAATGTCCTAAACATTTCTCCAGTAGAAAACAAATAGTCTGAATAACATTCCTAACAAAAATCTCAATGATGCCTCAAACATTTCTCCAAGTCAACAGAGACTGAATGAAGAGTAAACAATTAAATGCAACCTGTAACTTAAAAGGAAACCTAAAAAAAAAAAAATGGCTCAAATTGTGTTCAAACACTGCAGCCAAAACTCAAAATCTCAACATAACCTCTAATGTTTCTCATCAAATGTTTTCATTTGCTCTTTATGTCTGTCACCTTCTGTACACTGTTTAAACAATGTATAAAGTCTCTATCTTTTCTCCAAAAGAAAACTAATGAAATCAATAACATTCTCATCAAACATCTCTATAATGTCTCAACATCTCAATAATGTCATCAAACATCACAATGTCTCAAACATTTCTCCAAGTCAACAGAGAGACTGGATGCAGAGTAAATAGTTAAATCCCACTCGGAACTCACAAGGAAACATCAAAAAATGTCTCAAATTGTCAAATTGTCTCAAAAAACCCCGCAATCAGAAGTCAAAATCTCAACATAACCTCCAATATTTCTCATCAGATGTTCTCAGCTGTTCTCCATTCCATCACTTACACTGCTTAAAAAAAAGGCTAAAATCGCAAGCATTTCTCCAATAAAAAAATAAGTAGAAATTATAACATTCTCATCAAACATCTCAGTAATGCTTCAATGCTCAATTTCTTCAAGTCAACAGTGAGATTGAATGTAGAGTAAATAGTCACCTGCCTTTTAGAACTCACACAGAAACTTCAATATTGTCTCAAACTGTGTTCAAAGAAAGCAAGCTAAACTCAAAATCTCAACATAACCTCCAATTTTTCTCATTAAATGTTTTCAGCTGCTCTCCATTTCTGTCACACTGCTTAAACAAGGTTTAAAATCTCCAGCTTTTCTCCAATAGAACACAAATCAATAACATTCATGCACTGAAAAAAAATATTCAAAGATGATTCCTTGGATTTACTCAATTTTTTTATGTTAAGTGGTAAACATTTTATTTGGGTTGAA